AAACATGTTGATTTGCAACTAAATATAGCCTTTAGACTAAATTTGGTACTCTCTTTTGTTAAATATGAGGATGCACTATATCTGTACATATTTACTTAATAAATTATATTGCTTAACACACATTTATTCAGATTCTTAATTTTTGCATCTTATCGTGTTAGAAAATAGTGAATGGTGCATTTCTTATTTACTGGATGATGATGAAATTTTTACTCATGACTTGTGTCAAGCTGCATTTGGACAGAAATTGGAATTAAATTAATAATGTGCAAAACCAACATTTAATAGTTTTTATTAGTTAAATAACTACCTAAGAAAAAACAAGTAAGTTTATTACAATATGTTTTGCATTTAAAACTAACTGATTTAGTAAACAAAGCAAAGCAAGTATTATATATAGTTAGTGAATTGAACTGATTGTTTCTTGTCACAATGTCCTTCAAGGTTTCAGGCTTCGTCTACACTAGCACTTTTGTCAGTAAAACTTTTGTCAGTCTGGATGTGAAAAAACATACCCTGACCGACAAAAGTTTCACCAACAAAAGCACCGGTGTGGACAGCGCTGTGTTTGCAGGAGATGCTCTCCCGCCGACATAGCTACCACCGCTTTTTAGGGGTGGTTTAATTATGCCGGCGGGAGAGCTCTCTCCCGACAGAATAGAGCAGCTACATGGGAGACCTTACAGCAGCGCAGCTGAAGCGGTACAACTGTGCCACTGTAAGGTCTGTAGTATAGACATAGCCTTAGAATTAGTAGATCTCATCCTCTCACATCTAGTTTTTATTCACAGATTGGAAGAAGAAAACAAGCTTTCCTGATTTTTCAACTCCCTGTTGTTTTCTTACATTTGAATGAATTTGTCATTGAACTGAACTAGCTGAATAAATTGAAATGAAGAAAATATTCACTCTGCACCTGCAGAAGAGGCTACTGTTGTAAAAAGCTGGCTTAGCACTTCAGCAACACTGGCTGCTGGGGTGCATAGCTAGTGACTTTCACTAATTCACTGGTATGACTTTCTTTAAAACCTCAGCAGCAAACATCATTGGCTTAATATTATTTTTTATTTAATTTAAATGATTTTAATACATTATGGTAAGCTTAGGCCTTAAGTGAGGCTGTCATAATTTCAAATTTAATTTTAAATAGATTTATTTTTTAAAATAAAAATATGTTTTTAAATGAAAATACTCAATTTAAATTAATAAATTCTGATTTTTAAAAATTTATTTTTAAAAATAATTGATTTTTTAAAATCCACCCTGAAATGCAGTGTTACTTCCCAGCATTACACTATTCTGGACTTGAGCATGAAGGACAGTTAAATTGTGTTAAATTCCTGGCATTGGCAGGTAAAATGGGAATTTAGCTCGAAGTATGTAACTGTGGTGTTGGGTACAACTTTTAAGATTTGTACAAGATGGTTCAAGACTAGACACAACATAAGTACCATAAAAAAATGTATGTCAAAATGCCATTACTTAGGGCTAGCTCCTGCTAGTTAGGTACAGCCTGGGGAAGGGAGCAGAGCACTACAGCACCTCCCCCGCAGTCCACATAGAACTGCTCTTTAGTGGCTTGGATAAAATGACTTAGTGATCTCAGTTTCATTTCTAATGAACTAATGTCCCCATCACACTGTTGCACCATCGTTGGCAATTTCAGCAGAAGGGCCAAGTGACTGAGAGGGACTGAGAATAAAATAACCTATTACTCCCTCTGGATTTGAAGTCCAGATTGTAGGGCATTTCTGTGGATAAGCAGAAGAATTCAGACTCCAGAACTGTCATTCCTGGTGCAAGTGCTGGAGGAACCAACTAGGGGCAGAGCTTTTCTTGACCTGCTGCTCACAAACAGGGAAGAATTAGTAGGGGAAGCAAAAGTGGATGGGAACCTGGGCGGCAGTGACCATGAGATGGTTGAGTTCAGGATCCTGACACAAGGAAGAAAGGAGAGCAGCAGAATACAGACCCTGGACTTCAGAAAAGCAGACTTTGACTCCCTCAGGGAACTGATGGGCAGGATCCCCTGGGAGAATAACATGAAGGGCAAAGGGGTCCAGGAGAGCTGGCTGTATTTTAAAGAATCCTTATTGCGGTTGCAGGAACAAACCATCCCAATGTGTAGAAAGAATAGTAAATATGGCAGGCGACCAGCTTGGCTAAACAGTGAAATCCTTGCTGATCTTAAACGCAAAAAAGAAGCTTACAAGAAGTGGAAGATTGGACAAATGACCAGGGAGGAGTATAAAACTATTGCTCAGGCATGCAGGAATGAAATCAGGAAGGCCAAATCACACTTGGAGTTGCAGCTAGCAAGAGATGTTAAGAGTAACAAGAAGGGTTTCTTCAGGTATGTTAGCAACAAGAAGAAAGTCAAGGAAAGTGTGGGCCCCTTACTGAATGAGGGAGGCAACCTAGTGACCGAGGATGTGGAAAAAGCTAATGTACTCAATGCTTTTTTTGCCTCTGTCTTCACGAACAAGGTCAGCTCCCAGGCTGCTGCACTGGGCAGCACAATATGGGGAGAAGGTGACCAGCCCTATGTGGAGAAAGAAGTGGTTCGGGACTATTTAGAAAAACTGGACCTGCACAAGTCCATGGGGCCGGATGCGCTGCATCCGAGGGTGCTAAAGGAGTTGGCGGATGAGATTGCAGAGCCATTAGCCATTATTTTTGAAAACTCATGGCGATCGGGGGAGGTCCCGGATGACTGGAAAAAGCCTAATGTAGTGCCCATCTTTAAAAAAGGGAAGAAGGAGGATCCGGGGAACTACAGGCCAGTCAGCCTCACCTCAGTCCCTGGAAAAATCATGGAACAGGTCCTCAAGGAATCAATTATGAAACACTTAGAGGAGAGGAAAGGGATCAGGAACAGTCAGCATGGATTCACCAAGGGGAAGTCGTGCCTGACTAACCTAATTGCCTTCTATGATGAGATAACTGGCTCTGTGGATGAGGGGAAAGCAGTGGATGTGTTATTCCTTGACTTTAGCAAAGCTTTTGATACAGTCTCCCACAGTATTCTTGCCGCCAAGTTAAAGAAGTATGGGCTGGATGAATGGACTGTAAGGTGGATAGAAAGCTGGCTAGATCGTCGGGCTCAACGGGTAGTGATCAATGGCTCCATGTCTAGTTGGCAGCTGGTTTCAAGCGGAGTGCCCCAAGGGTCGGTCCTGGGGCCGGTTTTGTTTAATATCTTTATTAATGATCTGGAGGATGGTGTGGACTGCACTCTCAGCAAGTTTGCAGATGACACTAAACTAGGAGGCGTGGTAGATACACTAGAGGGTATCTAGAGGGTAGGGATCGGATACAGAGGGACCTAGACAAATTAGAGGATTGGGCCAAAAAAAACCTGATGAGGTTCAACAAGGATAAGTGCAGAGTCCTGCACTTAGGACGGAAGAATCCCATGCACTGCTACAGACTAGGGACCGAATGGCTAGGTAGCAGTTCTGCAGAAAAGGACCTAGGGGTCACAGTGGACGAGAAGCTGGATATGAGTCAACAGTGTGCTCTTGTTGCCAAGAAGGCTAACGGCATTTTGGGCTGTATAAGTAGGGGCATTGCCAGCAGATCGAGGAACGTGATCGTTCCCCTTTATTCGACATTGGTGAGGCCTCATCTGGAATACTGTGTCCAGTTTTGGGCCCCACACTACAAGAAGGATGTGGAAAAATTGGAAAGAGTCCAGCGGAGGGCAACAAAAATGATTAGGGGTCTGGAGCACATGACTTATGAGGAGAGGCTGAGGGAACTGGGATTGTTTAGTCTCCAGAAGAGAAGAATGAGGGGGGATTTGATAGCAGCCTTCAACTACCTGAAGGGGGGTTCCAAAGAGGATGGAGCTCGGCTCTTCTCAGTGGTGGCAGATGACAGAACAAGGAGCAATGGTCTCAAGTTGCAGCGGGGGAGGTCCAGGTTGGATATTAGGAAACACTATTTCACTAGGAGGGTGGTGAAGCACTGGAATGCGTTACCTAGGGAGGTGGTGGAGTCTCCTTCCTTGGAGGTTTTTAAGGCCCGGCTTGACAAAGCCCTGGCTGGGATGATTTAGTTGGGAATTGGTCCTGCTTTGAGCAGGGGGTTGGACTAGATGACCTCTTGAGGTCCCTTCCAACCCTGATATTCTATGATTCTATGATTCTGGTACCCTTGACAAGCCGTTTAAATTGCTGTAAAACTTGTGGCTGAAATGGGGAGGTGTTTGTGAGATCCAACAGTACTGGCTAGAGCCAGGCATTGTGTGAGTAGGCATTTTGCAAACTTCCTCACCAATCCAGGGGCATGCAGTAGCCTGGAACTGCAACACACTTAACTATTCCAGCACTAGGCCTCTTTTGAGCAGAAGCTGCCAATCATACCGAATGGGGTGATGGTTTGGATTTGGACAAATATTAAGTAAGTACTCAGTTGAAGTCACCCACTCTCCTTTTCACTTGTAATCTGAGGAAGGACCTGAAACCAGATCTCCACTGGTGAGAGACTAGTGCAGGATACCCATGGGCTGCCATGGGCATCCTTTCAGTAAAGATGTTAATCATGGATCAGCTTTGATTTTTTCCTGACAGGAGGAAATCATACATTCAACCACTACTGATAGCATAGAAGGCCCTGAATGCAGCAAAACCGACTCAGTGTGTATTCTCTGCATGCCATGGTGGATTCTGCTACTCAGTGCATAGGAGATGGCAGAAAGAAGGGGAGCAGACGGCCTGGTGGTTCTGTAACACTATAGATCAATTAGCCAGCTGATTTGCACAGGATTACATAGCAATAATGGAGTCCATCCCTGGGAACCTTCTCTGTGCCCAAGCCAAAATTTGGCCCACATGTAGTTGCTAAAGCATAGGTCCCAGAACCGGATATTTTTGGGGAGCATACAGGTTGCCAGTCAAATCATTTCAGTAAGACACACGTTAAAAGATGCAATCCATATTTATAGTTGGGGGAGGTACCTGCAGGTCCATAACTGTTCACCATTTTACCATTTACAGGTGACAAGAAGTACATCATGGGACCAAAGCTTTCCACTCTCGATGCCACTGTCTTTGGGCACCTGGCTCAAGCAATGTGGACATTACCAGGGACTAGACCTGAGAGACTAATCAAAGGTAAGACAATCTTAGAGATTTGGACATTTCTTTTGGTAGCATTCTCTGCTTGTAGGCCTAGGGCCGGATGTCAGGGAGATCTCATTATAATATGCAGGAGAACACTGTCAGGATCATATGGCATATGGTCCTGCCATGCGGGCAGGGGACTGGACTCGATGACCTCTCGAGGTCCCTTCCAGTCCTAGAATCTATGAATCTATGACATTTGAAGACAGAATGAACCTAGAAGTTCAGCTAGAGTGTCCTGTCTTTTGATGTACTCTGTAATATTGTTTTTCTATCCAAAGGTGCCTTCATTTCCCCCCCATGAAATTCTTCACATTAGTTGCTCCTATTGCTGTACTTGGTAGCTTACACACTACAGCGCTCTGTTTAAATAAATTTGGCCTTTGCTCTGTTAATTAATTAATGTTTGCAAAGTGTTTGATAATGAAATCACTATGGGCTAGATGCTGCCGCTCTTGCTTACACCGAGTAGTATCATATTCTGCAAGTAGTCCCAGTGAAATCATAACATTAATGACTACTGCAGATACAGGAAGAGGAAGGAGCCCATCTTGACTTTTGGATCCCACCTTTCATTGGTAAGCTGAGCACATTTGATCTGGAGTCATAGACGCATGATAAATTTGAAGGCTCCCCCCACCCCTGAGCCATTTAACATAAATTTTCAGAGCAAAACCGCATATTTAAAAAAAAAGTGATAGAATATAAGGGGGGACGTGGCATGAAATAGTTTTAGTAGAAGAAGGATAGAATCTGGTTCTATATAAGGGCTAAATATTGTAGTAACAAATTTGGAGGAACGGAATCAAATTTGGAATTTTAAACACATTTGTAAAGAGTTTTGAGATCTATTGATGAAAAACACTGTATATAAGAGCTAGACGGTATTATTGTTATTATTATATGCTTCTCTTCTATGACCTTGATCTCTGAAGGATCTCAGGCAAAATCTTAGAGGACCCATGAATTTCAAGAATTAGCCTTATATTGATTGAAACCCAGCTGCCCTACCAAAATAATCAGATGGACACTCCCATCCCCTACAATACTCTCCAGTCTGACTCCCCCTAACCAGACAGCTGCTCATGCTATGAAATACTGCACACAACAAGTGTTTTTCCTGGATGTACTGTTGTGTTTTGTCCTTCACTGAGGTTTTTATAATATCTTCATAAATATATAAGAAAAATACTTTCATTCCATCCTTCCATCCCTAATGTGTACAATACCTAAGGGTGTGCTACAGTGACCATGTAAAAATTCGGTGTGTCAAATGCCAAATTTATCTTGCAAACAGTACTGCCATCTTGTGGTCCAAAACCAAAATTTGCCTCCAATTGCACAACATTCTTTTAATAAATACATAGAATATGTATGGCCAAATTCTGTCTTTGGATGCCAGGTTTGTACAAAATGCATAACAATTTTATTGTGACAGATTTATAAAATCAGTAATCTTTTCCCTTTGAGCCACATTCATGAAGATTAATTCTAATTGCTTAACTTTATAGCTACACTCATACATAATCCTTTCATTTTGACCCTGCTTACCACAGGTACGTTAATCAAGTCACAACCATTTGCATTTTTCATTTGACTGAACTTGTAAACGGTACCGTTACTATGTTTGATCGTATCTTAGCCTTTTAGAAAGAGATCTCTAATGCCTCCCTGGAAACAAGCCAGGAAGATTTCTTTTAAGACAGCTCCTGTGACTTTTCTTTGCAGTGAACATGGTCACAGGATTAATGATTAGGAGTATTTACAATGGCTTGTTTTACTATGTTGCAGGTGAACTGATTAATCTTGCTATGTACTGTGAAAGAATAAGGAGGAAATTCTGGCCAGAGTGGCACCAGGACGACGATAACACCCTGTACGAATCTGAGGAAAGTAGTGAAGCTAGCAAGCCGCACACCCCATTGCAGGACTTCAGCTTTTATTCAAGGACAGAAACATTTGATGAGGAGGGGACAGAGAACAGTATTTCTCAAACCCCTGACACGGATTATACTGGACACTCTCTCTTTGATTCTGATGTGGACATGGATGACTATACAGATCACGCACAATGCAAGTGATGTATCCAAGCACTTCTCCGTTTGTGTCAGAAATGCCACTTTTTGGGACCAGTCCAACTTTCCCACGTTCATGCCAGTGTGGAAGAGATCATTGTGCTTGACACATTTCACATGCTACCTGGACTATTTCACTCTTATTTCATTTTGTAAATCCATTCAGATGGAGCCTAGGTTAAACAATTAGAACAAAAATAGGCAAACAAGAGATCCAGAGAGCGGGATCTTAGGCCTACATATTGCTCCCACTGAAAACAGATTCCAAAATCATGTGAGTAAACCTGCCACAGGTGGAGCAGAGAGGTCATGAGAGCTGCTTTGTGTTGAGTTTTTCATGTTCACAGCAGGGGGTTGACAGAAAGGGAAAAGGGTTTATTGGAATTCCCCTCTCCCTCCTTGGTAAGCAGTGATTGCACTGTATTAATGCAACAGGATGCCAGGGCAACTTTACTCAACAGCTTCTTGCTCTCTGGGTGTGTACGTTACACGTGAGTGTGTATAGGAGAGGAGTAGGGGTTTGGTCTCCAGTGCTTTCACAGACTGTCCATCAATAAAGGCAAGAAGAAAATGTGCTCATGCAAAAAGCAACATTTTATAATTCCTTTTCTGTACAATAGCTTGAAATCTTTCAGTTTTATAACTTTTTTATAAGTTGAAAGGGAGACTTCAAAGTATTTTAAATTATTACCTAACAATCCCCTAGAAGATTGTTTAGGAGTCTTGGCTAAACCCCATCTCAGGTATATATACTCTGCCCATTCAAATTCCCCTTGCAGTTTCGATTATGTCAAGTGTTCTTTCCACTTCCTGGTGCGAACTGTTGTTTGGTCTTGCTAGATACTGTTAAGTTAAACACCTAGAGTGCACCTCCCCAGAGTCAACTGCATTGCAGTGCTGGACACTTCAGTCTCTATAGCAGAGATCGGCAACCTTTGGCACGCAGCCCTCCAGGGTAAGCAAACAGGCCCGGCCCGCCAGGGTGCTTACCCTGGCGGGCCGCATGCAAAAGGTTGCCGATCCCTGCTCTGTAGTTTTTGTGTATGAGTTGGCAAAGTTTGCGAAGCACTTTGGAGTGCTGCAGGGTATCAGACGCTATGTAAATTCAAGATACCAGATCCTCAGAAGTGCCAGAGGAGAACTCAACATGGGAAGGCTAGGTAGATCGTTTACATTGGGTCTAGGGCACCTGACACACTCCTTATAACCAGGTGGGTGGGAGTGGGTAGTAGAGAACTAGCTGGCTATGCCAGTTCTGTAGCCTATGTGGATTTCCCCATGCCAGACTGGATGCTGACACAGATTTCAGGCAGAGAAAAAGCATATGAGGAATTAAAGTATGTCAAGGTGTTTGTAAATATATTTAAGAAAAATCAGATTTTGGGTCCACGAACCTTGACAGTGTCCCTTAAAATGTTTTATGCATGGCTTTCATGGTTTAGGAAAAGTTGTTACATGAACAGGAGCACTTTGCAACATTATTAGTCATGCAGCTGATAAATAACTTGTTCCTGTATCTTGTATTCTGGGCAGCTAAGAGTAAAAGGGGCAGTTGAGGACTCTTCTCATGGTTGTTATTGCTTCTCCTAATACTGAGAATTCAAAATAAATGGAGGAGTTTCCCAAAGCTTTAAAAGAAATTCATTTTTTGTGGATCTTTTCACTAATTGTGAAGACTCCCTCTAGCTCGGAAGATGCTTGTTCCGGGGAATCACAGAGCCGGCTGTGGATCCGGAATGGGAGAGTCACAGTTCACATGTGGAGATCCACAGCCAGCCTGGCAACTGCTCCTTGTGTTTAGGTGGGAACAGCTATTATGAAGACAGCTGATGGCTTGCGTAGCGTGGGATGCATAGTTTTGTGTTTGTTTCTTAAAATAGCCCAGACATTCCTTTGCAGTCATGCTTCTATCAAACCTTTCCAATCTCACGGATGAGTACGATTCAGGGAATGAATCTGAGCTATAGTTGACTTGCAGATGATGGAGAGGAAGGTGCAATCCAAGCATTTAGGAACCTTGTCAGCAAACTAAGCACAAAGCACAGGACACAAAGGGTAAAGCCTTGGGACCAAAAGGACAGACATGCTTGGTCAGAAACGCCTTTGAAACCCCACAAATCATTTAACCCAGGTGTTACCTGAAGAAATTCAGACGTTGAACCCTGACCAAAAGAATCACATTTGACAGGGGAATTTTGTTCTTTAAAAATGTCAGATGTGACCTTGGTTTGTATCTGTTTTGTTTGTTTTGTGTATATATTGATTTAACTTTCAAAGCTCTATATTTGAAGGCAGTGTTTTTTCAACTTTTTGATGTCAGGAGTTTGAGTTTCAGGTATCGAGTACACTGCTGAAAACGGATGTCACAGCAATAAGCTACTGTAGCTAAAAGATTAACCTGAGTTATAAGGCACTTGCATCTTCCCCAGTTGCAGAGGCTGACAAATCTGCCTGTGACTATGGTCCATCATAAAGGGAAAGGACCCAATCTAACCAGAAGCCTAAGGGTTAACTTTCCCCCTCTAAATTTATGGGGTCTGATTCTGATCCCACATTGCAATAAACAGCAGTAACCACTGAAATGAATGAAGTTAGAATGGTGTAAACCAGTGAGAGAGCAGCATTCTGTCCATCGTGTTCTTAGGTATCTGAATTCTTCCTAATTCCTGACCTCAGGCCTATCTGAACAGAATCTCCCTTATAACTGTATGATATATTCTATACCTTGATAGAGAACTAGACTCATTTTCATTCAGAATGGCAAATAAAAACCTAGTTAGAGGATATGATTATTGGTGTCTTCCCATCTCCGGGGAGAGTGAAAAATAAAAGCACTCTGGAGCCTTTTGCTACAAATGACTAGAATGCTAACAAGGTTCTCTGCCCCCACTGTTGTGCATTCTCATGCATTTTGATGCTTCCATACGTACACCTTGGAGAGAGGTGGCTAGAGCAAAATCATTAAAAATCTGTGTCATGTCTTGTGACAAACACTTGCTGGAGGTGGCCTTTAGATATTAGAAACCCCACACAACAGCAGGAATGGGAGAGGGAAGGGGATTGAATTTAGATGGCCGATTCTGGGTATCTCCAGTACTTAGAATTCTGTATTACAGAGGCAGGCAAACAGCGTGGGGAGAAAAGGCCTGATCCTACATCTCATATTCATGTGAGTAAAGCTTACTTATGCTAGTTTTCCCATGGAAGTCACAGACACAGTGCCCTCAGTTAGAACAGTGTAAACCTGGAACACCTCCCTGGATTGAAACTGGTCTAATAATATAGGGCAATATTTGGACCAATGGGTCTGCTGTATCAACAGGTTCATGTGAAATCAATAGGGCCACTTGAATAAAAATTGTTACTCTTAGAATTGCAGATTTAGTCCCTAGAGAAGGAGGAAGTGTATTTAAGATAGAAGTATCTCCATTGAAATTTAGGTTGGAAAAATAAGTTGTGCAACTGTCACTTTATGAGCTAAGATTTTTATTTTTATTCTGAATATCCAGAAATTTTCCAGTGAAGGCTTAACTTGAAACTGACAAGCACAGTAACACCCATTTTGTTTTAGAAAAGTAACATTTTAAAAAAATTTGTAAGGATCCAAAGAGACTACAAATGCAGCAGCCCTTGTCAGTATCAGCTGCGATTTTCTAGCTGCACTGATTTGTCTATGTATTGCTCAGTTGTGTGAATGTATTTACAACACATGCCATGCCTTTTGTTTCTTAGGAGCAACTCAGGTTTTTTAAAGGAGGAGGTTAGTAACATTTTCCTCATCATGGATACCCTGGAAAAGTGTGCATTTTTGTGTTGCTTACAGTATCGTTTTGATTTAAAATTTAGAAGAAATTGCAGAAACTATGTATGTTAAATATACATGTACGTCATATTTTCAAGGCATGACAGGAAATTTTTATCCTAAATGTAGCCTGTCCAGAAACAAATATCAGCTGTTTTTCCTTCGAGAGCTGGTCAAAAAATATTTTGTTCACACTTTTTTTCAGTGGAAAATGTGTTTTGGCTAAAACAAATGCCTCTTCACAATAATTTCATAAAAATAGTTTTGGTTCAAATCTTTAGTTTTTTGACAAAAAATGAGAAATTAAACATTGCATTTTTACTTTCCTGCTTCTTTTTAAAATGGCAAAAAAGTGAGAGGACAAGTCCCCCCGCTAAAAATTTTTAGGAAATTTTTTGTCAGAAATGCAAAATTTTCATTTCCTTCAAAATTTTTCATGGAAAATACCTACCTCTTTTGACCAGCTCTCTGATGAAATATATCGAGTTGAAAACCATCAAAGGGGTATTCCATTCCCCTCCCCCCTTCTGTATAGTTAATCTCCATTTTGTCCCCTGATTTATTATCCTTGCCCTCACTATTACAAATGACTCTTGTTCTTTGGCTGAGGAAGCATGGCTAAGATTCTCTATGGAGCTTCTCAGCAAAGAGACACAAGGAATGGGTCTAAGGGCCTTCAACTCACTCTGAAAACAGTTACTATCTTCCAGGATCAGGCACTACATGCATTGCCTGCATAGCAGTCACAGTCCGTGCTGGCTCACAGTGCAAGAGATTGGCCCTGGGAATCAAACATGGATCTCTAGGTCTGTAATGTAGGATACTGAAACTGTGGCAGCCAGAGTATTCTTTACTAGAGGAGTATAATGGATTAGAATTTTGGATTACTCATTAATCTATCAGTATCCGTCCCTCTGAATTTGATTGTGGCCCAGATTGTGCCCCCTCCCTCCCGGTCCATATATGGAAGAATCCTCCATACATGGATCTCCCCTCTTCTTTACCGAAAGAGGGCTCAGGTAGGTGCCTCTTTTGCTCCACCCATCCCTTCCCTCGCTGCCGTAGAAGGATCTTTATGCTGCATGGGCTCTGCACAGGAAGAGGGGGTGGAATTATGTGGTGTTTCCTTTACCAGCTCTTACAATGGAAAGAGACAATCTGAGCCTCTCTCTGATCTCACACTGTTTTATATGAGTGTAACTCC